AAAGGGAACACGCAGAAGAAAGAAATAGAAGAAAAAGGGTGAAAGGCTGCACAAATGAGATACAGGAAGATAAAGAGTGGGAAAAAAATTGTAAATAAAATGCAGATAGAAGATTTCATTGGGATTTACAGTCAAAAAGAAAAGCAGACAAAGGGGAGAATTCCCAAAAGAGAAACCACAAAACAGTTAGGAAGGGAGAAGAGGGAAATCCCTGGGAAAAGCTGCCATAATAACTAAAGTAAAAGCTCTGAAGAAAAGATACAATAATCACCAAAATAGGAAAAAGAAAGATAGAGAAAGGGGGAGAAGAAAAAGAATTAAAAGTGGAATTTTTCAGCGTCCAAGAGAAAATGGCTAAGAGAAAGGGGGAAAGAGTTACACTAGTAGATGAAAGAGAATAGTCGTAAGATTGTCATTCTTATGTAATTAAGAAATATAGTATCCTGTTAATTGTAGAAAAATTGAAAGAAATGCTCTCTGTTTAAATTGAATTAGAAGACATATGTTGTTTATAGCAAAATATACCAATGGAGAAAATAAGACAAGAAAATTTGGTGAAACTTTGAAGGGGCAATTGAAGAGATTGTTTATGTGTTAAGAAAAATAAGTACAAAGATGAAAATAGTAGAAGAGAATTTAGCTGAAAGTGAAAACAAAACTATGATGTAAAACGGACTATGTAAACGAGGGGGTGTAAAAGAAAAGACCCGGACAGCGCTTCGTTCCTATAATATGTATAATTTGTATTAAAAAAAACAATAATCTTGAATTTTAAAAAAAATTGGACGCTTGGTCTCCACCTGTGGGGGTCAGTGCCTGGTGGGCCTGGGATCCCCTTCGGCGGCCTTGACAAGCAAAGTCCATGGCAGAGCCAGATTCACTTAACAGTTCTGTTACTTACTTAACAACTGCAGTGATTCACTTAACAACTCTGGCAAGGAAGGTCATAAAATGGGGCAAAACTCACTTAACAAATGTCCCACTTAGTAACAGAAATTTTGGGCTCAAATTGTATGCCGAGGACTACCTGTAACTGCATCCCCTCCGGAGCCTTGCAGGTTTTTCTGGCCAAGCCCCCGCCCGCCAAGAGCAAGACCAAGAGGCACCTTCCGAAAGGACCCTCCACTCTGCCCAAAACCCAGGAAGAAACAGCCACTGAGCCCAGCTCTGAATCTGCAGAGCCTTAAATAAAGAGAAGGGCCTCTCTGCCCTCCCCCACCGCCACAGGAGGCTCCCATTTCTACACCTGGCAACCCAACCGGGGATTGAACTCCTCTAGGACTTCCCCACAAGCGCTGGCTGTGGGTAAACACGTCCTAATTAACCAGGGCCCAGCCCCTCAGTTGAGGTTCCCGAGGAGGCTGTGTAATACAGCGCTGGCCACATTCAGATGTCGCCCTTGGCCTTAAGCCCAGGTTTATTAAAAACTTCATTGCTACCTTCACATGTTCTATCTGCTATCTCAAAGGAATCGAAGCCTAAGCCTGCGGAGGCTCTTGGCCACACAGCGCCTTAGGACAATAACCCCCAAGCATGCAGCCCCACTTGAAAGTTTTAAAACTTTTTCAGGCTATGCAGCCTGTTAAAAGAAATCCCAGAAGCCCCGAACAAGAGGCCCGAATGCTGGTGACAGAAAACTGTCTGAAGCAGCTGGTGTTTTTGCTTCAGGGAACCCCGATACTCTGCTCTGGAACAATTCTAAACGTCCACCATTTCAGATTGTGTTGACTTCAACTCCCAGAATTCCCAAGCGCTGGCAGAGGAATTCTGGGAGTCAGCGCATATTCCTTAAAAGTAGTTGAGGTTGGAACACTCTAAAGGTGTTTTTCCAAAAAGGCAGCTGGACTTTCTTGGATTTTTTTTTCCTTTGAAAAGATTTCACTCCAAGAAGCTTCTTCAATTCTAAGTTACAAATGAGGGAGATTCTTAGATGAGAAGGAAAAACGGGGGGGGAAAAGCCAAGGAAGTCCAGTAGGCTTTTGGCAAAACCACAGCCTAGATGTTTTGAGCATTCCCTACAGACTTGCTCTGGAAAGTTGTGCAGATCATTTGGATGGGCAGTTCCACATCCTTGAATCCTTGGTGTGCCCTCAGCTTTCATTAGAACACAGAAAACCAGAGCTGGAGGAGACCTTGGATGTCTTCCAGTCCAGCCCCTGCTCAAGCAGGAGACCCCAATTCCATTTCAGACAAATGGCAGTCCAGTCTTTTCTTAAAAGCCACCAGTGATGGAGCACCCACAACTTCTGGAGGCAAGTTCTTCCGCTGGTGGATTGGTCTGTCAGGAAATTCGTCTTTAGTTCCAGGTTGATTAGTTTCCGTCCATTGCTTCTCATCTTGCCTTCAGATGGTTTGACTCCCTCTTCTTGGTGGCAACCCCTGAGATATTGGAACATGTCTCCCCTAGTCCTTCTTTTCCTTAAACTAGACATGCCAGTTCCTGCAACCGTTCTTCATATGTTTTAGTCTCCAGTCTCCTAATCATCTTTGTTGCTCTTCTCTGCCCTCTTTCTAGAGTCTCCACGTGTTTTTTTTGTATCATGGGCCAAACCTGGCTGCATTACTCCAAAGGTGATCTTTCCAAGGCTTTGTAAAGTGCTACAATTTTTTTTTGGGGACTAGAGTTAAGTTGGAAGGGACCTTGGAGGTCATCTAGCCCANCCCCCCCCCCTGCGTTAAGGTGGTGGACGGCCACTTGTCTGGAATAGTTTGGCGTCTCCTGCTCGAGCAGGGGGTTGGACTAGAAGACCTCTTGAGGTCCCTTCCGGCTCGGTTCCGATTCTGACACCCAGCCCGGGTGGCACAGGGAACGAAGCATGGGCGGGCACCAGAGCAGATGGAGGCTGTGCCCGCAGCGTGGCACGAACTGGGAAGGCCCCGCCCGAGCAGCTGAAAGGATGGAAGACCACTGACCGGTTGCCGTTAGCAACGCCAAATGCAGGCAGGGAGGAGGCTGACCGGTGGCTTCTCCCCCCCCCTCTTCCTAAGACTGGCTGTGTCCCCCCCCCCCAATTCCTCGGCTCTGGAACGGGGCAAGACGGGCCTAGAGAAAGCGGGGTTCCCACCCACGTGCGGGTGAGGGGCTGAGCGCATGTACATTGAGCATAGAATGGGGGTTTGGCACAAGTTTAAACCATGGTCTACCCTGTGTTTGACCTGCTAGGACCCCTCAGGAGTCCCCGCGTCTCCCAGAAGCCGGAAGAGGGATCCTTTCTCAAGTTTGGCGAACTTTTAAAACGGGTGGACTTCAACTCCCAGAATCCCCCCAGCCAGCAACGCTGGGGGCAATTAAGAACCACAAACTTCCTGCGAAAGGACAGGGAGTTCATTCACCCACCTCCCTTGTCTTTCGACAACTGCAAAACCCTCACTCCGTAATTAACGACCGCAACAAACTCTTGCCCCCCCCCCACCTGCCCAAAATCAGATCCAATCCTTATTTCCCTTCAAACTTTCTACTTTTTTCCGGGTGGGGTGGGGGGGAAATCATTGGTTTCGGGACAAACCGGCTAGTAAAAATGGAAAAAGACTTAACGGCAAATTGTCGTCTCCAGCAGAGAGGAGTTGATCCCCTGTTGGTCCCCCCCTCTGAAAGGGAAGCGACTCCGGAGTGGGAGGTGGGGGGCATTTTATTTATCTGCTAACTGCTTTGCCACACACACACCCACGCGCCCCCCTCCCCAATTTTGCTTTTCCATCGGTTTTGAGAGTTTGGGAAATGGCGTTTTAGGATCCGATCGCAGGCCCAGAAAAAAGCTGTTGGGCTGGATCTGGAAGAGGGCCACACGGTCAAAATTCGAACGCTTGGCAAANAAAGGGATAGAAGAAAGCGGGAGAGAAGAGAGATGAATAAGAGTGAAATAGGAGAGTAAGAGAGAGGGACGGACACACACACACAACGCTCCTCCCATCTGCAATTTCAGATTTGTAAAATGCCCCCAATGCTTCTCCCACCCCCCCCATCTCGGCCGCCCAAGATCCTGGAAGGCGCAATCCGCCAGGTGTCCCTCCATGTGCAGCTTTCGCAGCCAGCCTGGTGCCGCTTGGCTCACCGAGCCACACAGCTTTTGTTTCTGGTGTTTTGCCCTCTGCTGTGTAGTAAAAATATATGTCTATATATTTTTTGCAAAGCACCACAAATGCGACTGGGAGGAGAAGGGACGCGCTGGGAACCGAGAGCAGGAGAGCCCCTGTGGCAGGGCCAGCCTCCCCCTGGACAGTCCCGGGTCCTTCAAGTTCCACGTGGCTAGCAAGTGTCCCAGCCCCACCCCGGACCTTCTCCAGCCCCCCCTTGGCCTCCTCAACCATGGAGAGGCAGCTTTTCTGCAGGGATAGGGGGCCACTTCGGATGCCCACTTTCCCCTCTCCTCCAAAGACTTTTGCTTCGCAGTTTGGGATGAAGAGCCTTGGGATTGGGTGGGAGAAGGGATGGATTCCCAGAGGGGGGAAAAACTGCAGGCTACAGGAACCATCTGCCCCACTCAGGTGACCCCCAAGAACACAGACAGACCACCAGGTGCTCCAAGGACTGGGAGTCCTCCAGGATTGGGCAGCCTATAAATCTAATAAATTGAATTGAATTGAATTGGCTGGACGGATGGCTTCAGGGGGCAAACTGGCAAGGAGTTCTGCCAGTTTGGCCCCCTCCGTCTGGGCCACGGAGCCCACGGGGCACCCAGGCACACCAGCCTCGTTCCGTTTAGTGGCAGCGGGAAATCCACAAGGTCTTTCTTGGCCAGGGACAACAAGACCCATAAACAGGTGGCTGGAACATGGGCCCCGTATTTCCTTTGTTTTTCTCTTCCCCCCCCCCCTTAATCCCTTTTTTTGGTTGGGGGGGNGCATACAAATAAAGTATATTCTATTCTATTCTATTCCTGCGGCTGGCAGGTTTGAGCAGGTCACCCCACGGTGCCCTGCCAGTGTGACTCGCCTGGTGCCCGGGTTTGGCTGTGGGCAAGAGGCGTCGCTGATGCCGTTTCCTTGTCTTCCTCCAGTGCCGATGCTGCAAGATGGCCAATGAGAACCACGGCAGCTCCAGGGAGGAGGCTGCCCTCATGAGCCATTCTCCCAGCACCTCCCACCAGAACCAGCCGAGCTCCCCCAAGGCCGCCCGCCTGGTGCAGGACTTGCCAGGTACTGCACGGAGGCAGTTGTGGGGGGCCCAACGCCTGCCTACCCCCCCTCCCTCCCCCCCCCCACCATGACTGGGTGCTCTCGCCTCCCCTACAGATGAGCTGGTGCAGGCGGGCTGGGAGAAGTGCTGGAGCAAGCGTGAGAGCCGGCCCTACTACTTCAACCGCTTCACCAACCAGTCGCTCTGGGAGATGCCGCTGCTGGGGCAGCACGACGTCATTGTGAGTGGTTGGCTCGGCTGCCGCAGGCATGGCCTCCCGGAGCATCCCTCGGCTGCCGGCACGGCTCCTGCTGGGCGGGACGGGGAGCCTCAAGGCGCTGCTAACGGTTCTCTCTTTGGGCTTCCTAGTCGGACCCTCTGGGTCTGAACGCCGCCCCGGTGCCTGCAGATGGGGGAGCCGGCGAAGCAGCCGCGGCCGAAAGCAGGCTGTGGAAGCGGAAGCTGTCCGAGGAAGGCCAGCCCAGCAGCAACCTTGCCAAAAAGCCCAAGGTAGGGAGCCCCCCCCCCCTCCTCTCGGCCCAGGACCCCGGGGGCTTGAGAGGGCAGAGCCAGGAGGAGTTGAGGGGAGCCACGGGGGAAGAGCCGGCTGTGAAAATCACCTGAAGAAGAAGAGGAGGAGCAGGAAAACCCACCAGGCCAAAGGTTCCCGAGTCCAAAGCAGGAGTCGCCCTCGTTCTCTTTAAAGGGAGCCACAGATTCTGCTAGTTGTGATTATTGCCTTGGAAGCATCAAAATTAAAATAAGGCCTACCGTACGACATTAAGTGCAAAGTATAAAATACACGATCAAAACACATACGTTAAAACAGATCTTGCCCAGAAACAACTAGCCACCTTCATTGCATCCTGTCGTGCTGCCACGAGATCCTGCTGGTGCAGGGCGGCTATACACACATATGTGACACCACAATCACAAAAGGCCAGAAGCCACCAGACGGCCCCACTTGTTCAGAGTGTCTCTGGGCCTTCTTGTCCCCGTGCGCAGCCTATTCACCCACCCACCCACCCTGATTCTACTAACCTTAACGGGAAAAGGGAGCCTTCATAACTCCTGATGGTCTGCCGGCTGGGTGACTTTGGGTCGGTCCTTCTCTCTCAGCCCAGCCCACCACACAGGGTTGTTTGTGGNCCCCTCTTGCCACCTTCCGACAAGCCAAGTCCATGGGGGAAGCCAGATTTGCTTAAGGACCAAATGAGCAACTTGTCAGCTGCACTGATTCCCTCGACGGCCGTGTCAAGAACGACGGTCGACCAAGGAGGCGGAATTCACTCAACAACCGTCTTGCTTGGCAACAAGAAATTTTGGGCTCAATGGTGGCCGTAGGTCGAGAACTACGTTGACTTGGGAATGATTCCTCCGCTCTCATCCACCGGTTTCTCTTTCCCATTCTTTCTCTCTCTCTCTCTCTCCGTCTCTCTCTGAGTTCTGGCAGAAGAAGAACTCGGCCCCCTCGAGTCTCCACATCCACACGGCTTTGAAAATGGAAGGATTTGCAGGCCTTGAATGGGGGGGGGGCTCCAAAATTGGCACACAGCCCTTTTCCCGTGGGCGTTTTGTTTCAGGGGTGGAAGAAAAACCGGCGTGGGTGGGTGGGGGGCTGTAGCTTTTGGCCCAGAAGGACTCCTTAGCCCACACGTAGGACCCCAGCCTCTGTACTGCCCCCCCCCCCGAAGACCGGTCAGAGATGGTCCACCAGTCGCTCGGCACCAACGCTGCGGGCAGTAGTGCTTCTGGCGTGCCCGGCTTCTGATGCCCAGGTGCCCCCTGGCGTGGAGGCGAGGGGCTTCTCCGCCTGCCCTGAAAGAAACGTGGGTCCCGGCGTCCTTCCAGCTGCCGTGCGGGAGGGGCAGCACCCCCAGTCTCCGGAGGGTCCCCAGCGGGAGACACGCGGCCGGCAGTCAGCCCTGCCACCCGTCGGGCTCGGCCGGCACAAGGCACCAGTTCTCGGGGCTCAGCCCCTGCCCGCTCAGATGGCCGTGTCCCAGAGCACCGTCTGCTGGCGGCGGCAGGGCGGCGTGCCCGACTTGCGGCTCTCCGTGCTCCTCCGCCAGCTGGGCAGGATGGGCATGCTCTCCTGCTTGCAGAGGCTGCGCTCGGGAGGCCGGTGCCGGGCCTTGATCTCCTTGCAGAGGCAGCGTTTGCGCTCGATCACCTCCAGCAGCTTCCCGTCCCTCTCCCGCGAGCCCTGCAGAGCCTCCGGCAGGGGAAGCGGGGCGTAGGGCAAGGCCTGCAAAGAGGAGGAGGGGGCGGTTAGGAGCCCGCTCGGAACGCCCTGCCAGCCTGCGTGGCCTTTGCCACCCACCCACCATCGGCTTCCGGTCGGGCATCGGGGCCTCCCTCGCAGGGGAGAAATCTGGCAGGAATTGGGCAGGAAGGCTGCGGGCACACGCCACAGGAAGCGGGCTGGCGACTGAAACCAGCCCAGCCGGCAAAACTTGCTTTCAGAAACAAGTGGGGGGATCCATGTGGCCCTGGACACACACACACCCCCGAGACCGGGTCCACCAGGGCGGCCGATGCCCCTTCCCCCATCCTTTGCCCCCTCGGGCACCTGCCGGCATCTCCCTGAGCCGGACGTTTCACGACCCAACTAGGGAACGTCATCCGTGTCGGATGATGTCCATCAATTATCGTGACACTGATGAAGTCCGCTAGTTGGGTAATAAAATGTCGACCAAGGCCAGAGAGCACCAAGGAGACCCTCAATTCTCCTCCTGGCACTGAGGACCTTCCGGTGTGGTGCCCTGAAACCTCTGCAAGGAAACCCCCCCATCCGAGAGACTCCCCCCCCACCCCTCCCTCCCCACAGCAGACCTCCTGGGCTTCCACATCATTTCCCATCCCTGAGATAATGGAGCTTCTGCAAGTCATTCCTGCCATTCCGGCGGCTTGTCCCATGGAGCTGGGTGGGCTCTCCCCTCCGTCCTGAGCAAAACCTCCCCCAGGAGCCCCTCCCCTTTCTCCCCCCCCCCACCTACCGGGCTGCCTGGGTCCCTGGAGTGGCTGCAGAGCCTCTGCGTGTGGGTCACAGCCTGCCGGACGCCTGAGGTGGAGGCCGAGCGGCCCAGGAGGTAACCACCAGTGAGATCTGGGCAGGGGGTGGAAGGAAGAGACCGGCCAGTCCTTTTGCCCAGCTGGCATCCCACCCCCACAAGAGCCAGGCTGTAGGCAGGAAGCGCCCCCCCCCTTCCCCCATAAAGCAGAATCCTCCCACGGTCTGCCCTCCGGCCCCTTCAGCAAAGAGGGGCAGAGGGAGGGAGAGAGAGAGAAGGGGGGAATGTGTGTGTGTGTGTTGCCTGCTGCAGTCCTCCTTCCCCGGAGGGTCAGCGGCCTCTTGGCAGCTGCATTAGGGAACCCCCCCCCCTGCAGCTCCCAACCAGCCAGAGACCTACGGGGGGATCCCCAGCCCCTCCCCACTGACCAAGAAGGAAGACCCCCCCCCCTCCAAGCTCCACGGCTCACTCACCTCCGTTGCGGTGACAGGCAGGGAAGGTTTGGCAGGGGATGGGCAGGTTGGTCCTGCTGCCGCCGGGCGTCTTGGCTGCCAGGCACTCCAGGGGGGGCGCACGGACCGGGATGCTGGACTGTGGGTGGGCGGGCACAACCTTCTCCTCCTTCTCCAGCTTGGGCTGAGCCGCTTCGCTGCCCTCCCACGTCTGGGGTCCGTCTGGGAGCTCTGCGAGGGCAGGAAACGGACGGGCAGAGGAGGGGGCACCGGCAGAACGCCCAGCTCAGCCCCCCCCCTCCCCCTGCCCTGCCAGAATGATGGGGCACAAGGACAGAAATTGCCCCCGATAAAATCAGCAGACAAACCCCTCGGAAACGCCAAGTGGGAGAAGACCCCTCCCCGCAAATTCCACCCTTCACCCCCCCCCTCTTCCTGAGCAGCCCCCAGTTCATGCCCGTGTCAAGGCCAAAGCCCCTTCCCCCCCACCCTGGGCCTGTCTGTCTCCTTCCCCCCTCACCCCCAGGACCCTCGCCCGCCCTTACTGTCGGCCTCCTTCCCCTTCCGCAGGCCGGCCCTCCTGTGCAGCATCCAGCCGAAGGCCTCGTCCTCCGCGGCCGGCCGGGGGCCGCACTCCTCCCCGGCCACCACCTGGTGGATGCTGGCGAAGGCCCTGTCCCGCAGCTGGATTTTCACGGCCGAGGAGGCCTTGGTGCCCAGGCTCTTGACGCTCTCGTAGGCCGGGGGGCGCTTCAGCCCCGCGCAAGGCGCCGGGTAAGTCCAGACCATGCCCAGCGGGGGCGGCTCGGGCAGCGAGGAAATGCGCTGCACCTGCCGGCACGCGGGCAGGGGGGCCGCCCGGCTGCACAGCATGCCCTGCAGCACCGCGATCTCCTCGGCCTTTGGCTCGGAGGGCGCCGTGTGGGTGGTGACCTTGACCGCCGAGTAGACCATGGTGTAGGAGACGGCCGGCTTGTCTTTCCCCGGCAGCCCGGAGGAGGCGGAGGCCGCTGGCGGGGCCGGGGTGGGGGGCGGCTTCGCGGGGGGGCAGATCATGCTGTGAGAGGCGGGCAGGTCCTTCTCCGGCTTGCTCTGCCCAGCCGGCTGTGGGGGCAGCGGCGTGGAGTGGCTGCGAGCCCGTCCGGAAGGCGCCAGGGCCGGGTTCTCGCCCCCCCGCTGCTGGTGATGGCTGGGCACCTGGGGGGTCATGGGGGCCGAGGGGGTGTCCTTGGGGTGGCACAGGACGGGCAGCTTGGAGCCGTCGGGGGCCTTGTAGCCCTTTTTGCCCTGGGGGAAGGCCAGCAGGGGGGCCCGGTGCTGCAGGAGGTTGGGGAAGGGGGGCGGGATCTCGCACGGGGAGGTCTTGCTGCCGGGCGCGGCCTTCGCGGCCTCCTTCTTAGGCGGCCGATGCCCGGGGAAGGCCAGGGCTCCGTTGGGGCGGGGCTCCCCCCCTTCCTCGGCCAGCGGGTACTTCATTTCTTCGTAAATGGCCTCGCTCTCGTCCGAGTCCTCCTCGGCAGCGGTGACTCCTTGCGAGGGAGGCCCGGGCCCCCGGAAAATGTCCCCCACCATCTCGATGTAGACCGGCTCGTCCTCCTCGGCATCGGAGCCCTTGGCCTGGCTGTGGGACCCGGCCCGGCCGTAGCGCTGCAGGCCGCCCGCTGGAGCAGGACCCGGGAGGCGCCCGGAGTAGGTCTCGTCGAAGGAGACGGAGAGATGCGTGTTGGGGCTGCGTTTCGGCTTCTGCGGGGGGACCTTGCGGGCGGCCTCTCGGCTCTCCACCCCGGCCTTCGGGCCCCCTGGCGGAGAAAGGGAGGAGAGGATGGCAAAAGGCCCCCTTCCACACCCAGCCAGGAGCCTGGATGAGGACGCCCCCCCCTTTCCCCGAGAGATCAGAAGCCCATCTCTCAGTGTGACAGGATAAGAGAGCTGGAAGGGACCCGGGAGGCCTTCTAGTCCATCCCCCTGCTCAAGCGAGAGACCCCACACCATTCCGGGCAAATGGCTGTCCAGTCTCTTCTCAAGAGTCTCCAGTGATGGAGGGAAACCGNGGGAGGGAATCCGCGGCAGCAGCCCCGCCGCCGCCTCCGCTCCTCTGGGCCAGGCGAACGGGCGGCGCTTCTGCGCAGAGCGGAGCGGCCGCCCCGGAAGGAAGGAGGGAGGGAGGGAGGGAGGCGGCTCAGCCCTGCCGGGGCTCCTGGGCCTCCGGTGTCCGAAGGGGCAGAAAGGGAGATCGGCTTTCTTGCCTCCCCATAAGGCTCCCCCGGAGGTCATCTAGCCCACCCCCTGCCCGGGGCATCCATGGCCTCCGTGGACCTCAGGCTCAGGCGCCGCTTCCAGCCGCCTTTCCCCCCTTCTTCAGTCCCCGTTTTCCCGACGGCGGAAGGACGGAAGGCTGAGCCAGCGAGGATCGAACTGCTGGCGGCGGGCGGAGCCTTTCCCTGCAGTGCGTCCCGTCCCCCTTTTCTCCTGAACGCAAAGCCCCTTCTTCCCCCTCCGCAGTTCACCAGTGTTAACACGCCCTCCGGCCCCGACCCTTCTTCAGCCCGCCAGGAGGGGCTCCGTGGGCAGAGCTTGCCTGCTGTGCTGCACTGGGACCACCGTGCCCCCCCACAAGGGCTCTGCAATAAAGCCCCCCCTCCCCACGACTCCCCTTCACATGTGGAGGGTCTCCTCTGTCGGCTGCAGCCTGAAAATCCCTCCGTTCTTCCCCTTCTGCTGCTTCTTCAAGAGGGCAGATCTGTGGCTCCCACCCTCCGTATCCGTCCGCAGAGGGGATGAGAGCCGAGCAAGGCTTAGTGGCTGGAGTGGAGAAGGGCAGAGAGCCAGGCGTCTTTCCTTCCGCTAGTGGAATCTTACAAGGCTCCCCAAGGGTGCTTTGCCTTGGCTCAGAGCCCTGAAACTGCCGGGGCTTCTAGGGATCTGTGTTGGGGGTCAGCCCCCCCCCCTCCCCCTGCCAGGCAAGGGTGGATCTTACATTCCCCAGAGGTAGTTGTCACCTACAAAGCCCTTCATGGTATTGGACCTGGGTACTTGAGAGACCGCCTACTGCCAATNTGCTATTGCTCCTCCTGCCTTTGTCCTATCTCAATAAAAGGGGCTCTCAGACCCGCAATCTGGGTCGCTCCATCCCGAGAAAGATTGCGTCCGTGTCTTTTCTCCACATTGGCCTCATGGACGAACCACGGGAACGTCACATTGGGTAGCAGAGGATGGTTACTTCGCAACTAATCAAGGAGAGGAGCAACCTAGAAATCAGGAGGGATTTCCTGAGAGAAAGGTTGAGGGCGTTCCACCGCTGGAGGCGTTTAAGAAGGGAAAATGGATGGGCGTTTGTCTGGGAAAACGGGATAGGAACTCCTGGCTTGAGAAGGCCGGTTGGACACTCCCAGCTGGCTTATTCTGGCTGAACTACGACCCTTTTGCACTGCTGCCAAAAAGCCTCGTGAGGCAGAGCTAATATTTGGGCAGGCACCCATCGTGCCCATGGGCTACCGGAAGGATTTTGGCTGTGGGGACGGCCGGTCTCCTTGGCACCGTTGGCAGTTCTGAAATCATCCGAGGCGCTTCCCTTCCAACGCGGGAGCCAGCTTCGCAAGGTTTTCTTGACCCAGGAGACGGAGGCGGCAGTGATTCGCACCCGCGCTGTAAATAAACCTTGCAGCCCCCCCAAACACGGGTGGGAATTCACAGCCGTAGTGCGAGCGAGGGAAGAGGAGGAGGAGGAGGAGGAGGTGTGCGGCCACCCTGATCGTGCTGGCACTTCCTTAGCAAGGGCGTTCAAACCTTCGCCAGTCGTGCCTTTCCCAGGTTGTCTGTTTTCTTCATTAATTTATGCATCGGCTTTTCCTAAATCTTCCCCATCTATGCAATAGTAAGCACGATGCCTTCTCGGAGTCCGGTGGCCCCTGAAACCCCTTTTGGGATGTTCTCCAATCCAGTTTGATTCTTTTCTGTGAAAACAAAAAAAACAAACAAAAAAACTTCGTTCCCTCCCCACCCACCCACCCTTTTTATATTTTGAATTTGTTAACCTCTTGTGACAAAATAAAACATCTGCAGGCAGCATCCCTTATCTCAGTGGTCCCCAAACTTGGCAACTTTAAGACTTGTGGACTTCAACTCCCAGAATTCCAGAAGGAGGAGGGGGGGCAAGGCAGCTGGCAGGGGCGAGGCTGTTCCCTCCCAGCCAAGGGAGCTGATGCCCATTGGCATATTCCCAGCTGAAGCACCGGCATCCAACGGGGGAGGGGCATGGGACCTGGCAGCCTGGGGTGGGTGGGTGAGGCTTCTAGGACAGCTGAAGGAGATGCCAGCTGGACGGAGCCCGCAAGGCTTTTCGAAGGGGTCCGTCTGGCAGAGAACAGGAGGAGGGGAGGCTGGGTAGAGTAAGGCAATCTTAGGCGCCAGCTAGTGGCACAGAAGCCGCCTGCTGTCGGCTCTTCAAGGCCTGGCATAAAGGGAGCCGTTCTGCCATCATTTCCCCACAGATGGGGTCCTGGAAAGGGGGGGGGGGCTTTTGAGACTGGCACCAGAGGCGTCACCCCCGCCCCGTTCGTGTTCACCCATGCCAAGGGAAGTGGGAGAGGCGGATCTGCTCAAAGCGTCTTTCCTGGACCGCAAACCATCCCCCCTCCCCAATTTCTTTTCCCATATGGGCCCTGCTCAACAGCACTGGGGGTGGGGGGGCACCTCAGAGGGCCCCTCCCTTCTTGTGTGGGGGGTGTCAGTTTTCCAGCATCCCCCACCCTCTCCCATAGAGGACACTGGAGAACGCGGGAGGCCCAATGCAAGCCACATTCCTCTGAAGGCAGATGTTGATGGGAGGGGGGATTGTTGGACCCCCCCCCTCTTGGAGGGCTGTTGAAATGTCCCCACAGATTAGGCCCAGTGGCACCCACGTCTCAGGGGGGAGAAGCTTCTTTTCAGATGGGGAGCCACTTCCGCCTATGATGGGGTCATGGGGGTGGGGGGGAGCTGTGTCCCCCCCCTTCCTGTGGGAGGCAGAAGGTGGGGAGGAAGCAGACTTTGGGGGTGGGCAGAGGACCAGGTGCTGCAGGGCGTTTGCCCCAGGAGGCTGGCAGAGGGGCACCGACACACCTGTCCTGGGGCTCTTAGGGAAGGATGCTGAGCACAGGGCATTTAGGCTTTAACAGGGGAGGGTGGGAGCACCACAGAGCCCCTCCCTCTTCCCTTTCCCCACCAACCTCTGACGCGACGGGATTCCCCCGTCGGACAGGAGCACTCTATCCCAATAGCTGCNGGGGGGGAAGGACTGGCGTTGGCTGGGGGAGCAGATGGGGCCCTAGGCTGGCGTCTGCTTGGGGCGTCGCTGGCAGAGCCTTCCTCGCTTGGTGGCGTCCTCCCCCTTTCCTACCTGGAAGGTTCAGACCTTCCCTGGGGTGGACGGGCGTCTCGGTCTCCACTCAGCTGGCGGTGGGTGTGACAAGGGAGGAGCCGGTTCTTGTGGCTTGGCGAGCCTCTTCCCAGCCCAGCTGTTTCTCCCCAAGGTAACGTGGCCTTGCTCCCTTGCAGATGGAGGTGCCGGGAAACCCCACAGCTCAGCCTGCCCCGAACATTTCCAGCACTCCCGGGACGCCGCTGTTGAAGGCCTGGGGCGTCTCTCCCGAAGAGAGGCAGGCGGCTCTCTTGCGACCAACCGAGTGAGTCAGACTGTGGGATGTGAATCTCGGGCAGCAGTTTCTGGGCAGGAGGAGGCGAAGCTTGTAATAAGCGTCAAAGGAGCCTCCGCATCGTCCCTTGGCAGCTTCTCCTCCTCGCTCATCCTGTCCTGCTCGTTGTTTGGCGTTTTCTTTCTCTGCCTTTTGGAATTTGCCTTGCAGAGAGGATGGCTGTCCTCAGAGGCCACGAGGGCGTCTGCCGTCTTCCTCCTCTGCGGCCTTTTGAACTTGCTTATTTTTCGTTCGCGTCTTGTCTCTCAGCGGGGTTTCTGGGCAGGGAGCAGAGGATTAAAACCAAAATGCACAACGGACGTGGCAACCTTAAGCTGTGCTGGCTGGGGAATCCTGGGAGCTGACGTCCACAGGTCTTTCTTAGAGTTGCCAAGATTTGGACACCCCAATTTACAGGAACAGTAATATACGTCTGAGGTTTTAAAATCATTCCAGTCATTAAAAACAACAATTACATTAATGAACAGAGAGACAATTGTATTTAAAGAAAAGGAGGGAAGATACTAAAATACTAGAAGGTTTGTCTTCCTCCTGATGAAGAGACAAGTCTTTATCTTTTTTATTCTTTTTTCCTATTTTTTTTTTCTATTTTCTGTTTTTCTTTTCTACACAGTCTGCTTTTTCTTACATTAGTCTTTATTCTTTTTTCCTTTTTTGGGTTTATGTTAGATTTTTTTTATTGTTGTAGTCATTTTTTAAAATAAAATTACGATTTAAAAAACCCCAAACTGTTCAACCAGCAGGGGCTGACTGAACCTTTTGGGCCAAATGCCTGTGAAGAGCCTTCAGGGCTTCAGGAGGGGCCGTCGGGAACGCTGGGAGGAGGGAGGGGCTTCCACTGGGTAGGCACTGCAACAGAGTCGGTCACAAAAACCTTGTTTCAAGCCCCATTCTTTCCACGCAAACAACTGTGTTTTGCAGTTCTGAACCTTCCCCTCGGTTCAGACGTTAAGGCACCTGGCTAGAAACCGGATGCCTGTAAGCTCTGGCCCTGCCGTGGGCAAGATGCCAGCCTGGTGACTTGGGCGTCTCTCGCAGCCCGAGGAAGCGGCAGCCAAGGGCAGCCGGAAAACGTTGCCAAGAAAACTGCAGGGACTTGTCTGTGGACTCGTCAGGAATCGGGGGGGACTCGAAAGCGGAAAGGAAAGCCTGGAGTTGAATGAGGATCCATTCACCGTGAAGGAGGAGGCCACGTTCCAGGAGGCCTCCCTGCCCAGCCCGTGGTTGGCCTGAAAGGGCGGATTGGGGCACCCTTACTGTCAACGCCCAGGAAGCTGAGCAGCGTATTCTAGAGTTTACGTGGCTTTTAGTAGAACCTGGCTTGTTTTCCCCTGCCGTTTTCTGCGCTTGTGACGTGAGAGCGGGACGGGGGGGGAGCTGCTGGAAGGCCCGGCTGCCCTAATTGGGTCTCTCTCCTCCGGCAGAGTCTACTGGGACCTGGACATTCAGACCAACGCAGTAATTAAGCAGCGGGCCCCGGCGGACGTGCTGACCCCTCACCCGGAAGTGGAGCTGCTCCGGTCCCAGCTCATGCTGAAGCTGCGGCAGCATTACCGGGAGCTCTGCCAGCAGCGGGAGGGTAACCCCTTCCCCTCCCCTCGACCGCCCGGTGAGCCTTGGGGAAGGGGGGCTCGCGACTGAGCCCGGCTGTCCCTCTCCGGCTCTTCCCTCAGGAATCGATCCTCCCCGAGAGTCCTTCAACCGCTGGATGCTGGAGCGAAAGGTGGTGGACAAGGGCTCGGACCCCCTGCTGCCCAGCAACTGCGAGCCCGTTGTGTCTCCCTCCATGTTCCGAGAAATCATGAATGACATTCCCATCAGGTAGGCCAACTGGGGTGAGGGGCGCCCCTCTGGACGCTGCCCTCCCGGGAGCCTAACCTTCAGCCCTCCCTCTCCTCTGCCTCCCCCACAGATTGTCCCGAATCAAGTTCCGCGAAGAAGCCAAGCGGCTGCTATTCAAATATGCCGAAGCCGCAAAGCGGCTCATTGAATCCAGGTAGGGACAGATTTTGCTTTTACGGGGGGCTGCAACCCCGTTCTTCCCAGAAAGGCCACCCAGGAGGGGAGGGAGGGGGGCACCGGGAAGGAGGGGACGCCAGCCGCCAAAGAAATGAGCACCAAGGTTGAATCGGCTTCTGGGCCTTCAGAGTCAGCAGGTGTGATGGAGTGTGGTCTGGATTCCCAGGAGGGAGGGGCGGCTTTCCAAAGGAGCAAGAGACATCTCTGCCCAAATAGCTTTGTGGGAGAAAGAGGCTGAGGACGGCTCCTCCCTAAGAGTCCCCAGAGTGTGTGCTTCCCTTAGGTACTCGTCTGCTTCAGTCTGGCAAGATTCTGTCGGGTTGGAGCATGGAAGAACCACCCGCTGTCGTCCTGGGTGTTTGGAGCCTGACGGCAGGTTTTTCTCTCGGTGTGCAGGAGCGCCTCTCCAGACAGCCGGAAGGTGGTGAAGTGGAACGTAGAAGACACCTTCAGCTGGCTGCGGCGGGATCGCTCGGCCTCCAAGGAGGACTACATGGTGGGTTGGCCTCTTTCTCCAGGGGGGGACGGAGAGATTAGCAATAGCAATAGCAGTTAGACTTATATACCGCTTCAGCCCTCTCTAAGCGGTTTACAGAGTCAGCATATTGCCCCCAACAACAATCCGGGTCCACATTTGACCCACCTCGGAAGGATGGAAGGATGAGTCAACCTTGAGCCGGTGAGATTTGAACCGCTGAACTGCAGATCAACTGAAATGGCCTGCAGTACTGCACCCTAACCACTGCGCCACCTCGCCTCATTTGAAGCGGGAGCTGGGCTGCTTTCCTGCCTTTAGGGGCAGAGGTTCGATGTAGGGGCCTACGGGGACACGGTGGCGAAGTGGTTAGGATGCCGAGACCGTTAATGGTCTCCAGCTCAGCCGTCAAGACCCGCGTGCCGCCAGACGGAGTGAGCGCCCGTCACTTGTCCCGGCTCCTGCCAGCCTAGCAGTTCAAAAGCCCTCAAGTGCGAGTAGAGGAGTAGGTTGAGCACGAAGGCCGGCGTCGTAGAGCGGAGCCTTCCCTCTTGGGTCTCCGGTTAATGTTCAGGGCCCCTCAGGCTGCCCGGAGACCATTGTGCCTGAGTCCCGTCAGCTGTGGGCTCACCTGGGCGAGAGGCTGGCAACCTGGGGAAGGTCCTGGGCTGTGGGAGAGGAGCAGCCCCAGAGCAGAAGCTTCTTCCTCCCGCCTGCAGGACCGGCTGGAGCACCTGCGCAAGCAGTGCGGCCCCCACGTCTCCGCTGCCGCCAAGGACTCGGTGGAGGGCATCTGCAGCAAGATCTACCACATCTCCCTGGAGTACGTCAAGCGCATCCGCGAGAAGCATCTGGCCATCCTCAAGGAGCACAGCATCTCCGGTAGCTGCTGGCGGGGAGGGGGCCCTCCGGGGGTCCCGGGGGTGGGAGGTGACTTGAGCCCCTTATTTGGGGAGGAGGAGGAAGAGGCCCAGGACACTCGGGGCTAACCTCCCATCATCCCCAGCTGAGGTGGAGCCCCCCGACGTTCAGGACCGGCTGGTGTACTGCTACCCGGTGCGGCTGGCCGTCCCGTCGCCCCCACTGCCCAGCGCGGAGATGCACATGGAGAGCAGCCTGGTCTGCGTGCGCTACAAGGGCGAGGTGCAGAAAGTCAGCCGCAGCTACTTCAGCAAGCTGGTGCGCCTCTTTTGGGGAGGGGGAGGGTGGGGAGGGGTCTTGGAGGCGGGAGGGAGGCCGCCATGCCCTTTGGGCCCCCTCGCAGAGCCCCTCCCTCTCTCTCTCCTTCGCAGTGGCTGCTCTATCGCTACAGCTGCATCGACGACTCCGGCTTTGAGCACTTCCTGCCCCGGGTGTGGTGCCTCCTCCGCAGGTACCAGGTACGGCCCTCCTCCGGCTGGGCTTCAGGAGGCGCGCGGGGGGGGATGGCTGGAGGAGCCGGCCTGGCCCTGCTCTGCTTCCCAGGGGGCTCCTGTCCTTCCTCCCCCTCAGATGATGTTTGGCGTTGGGCTCTACGAGGGCACCGGCCTGCAGGGGGCGCTCCCGGTGCACGTCTTCGAAGCCCTCTACAAGCTCTTTGGGGTGAGCTTCGAATGCTTCGCCTCCCCCTTGAACTGCTACTTCAAGCAATACTGCTCGGCCTTCCCGGACACCGACGGCTACTTCGGCTCCAGAGGGTGAGCCCCCCCCTGCCCCCTCCCAGGGAGCTTGGGCCGCGGGGGAGGGGGAGGAAGAAAGCGGGAGGGGGCACCACTGCTGGACGTCGTTTCTGGGCCAGGGAGGGTCCCAGACGGCCTTGGCTACCACCGCCTCCTCCCCCTCCTCCCCCCCCTCAGGCCTTGCCTGGACTTCTTCCCCATCAGCGGCTCCTTCCAGGCCAACCCCCCCTTCTGCGAGGAGCTGATGGACGTCATGGTGACGCACTTCGAGGTAAGGCCTGGGGGGGCCCCCCCTGCTGCCCCACCCCTGGGCCGGCCGGGAGGGGGAGCGAGTGGCTGAGCCTCCCTCTTCCCTCTGGCCCAGAAACTGCTGGAGGCGTCCAGCGAGCCCCTGTCCTTCATCGTCTTCATCCCGGAGTGGCGGGACCCCCCCCCAACGGCCCTCACCCGCATGGAGCAGAGCCCCTTCAAGCGGCAGCAGCTCATCCTGCCGGCCTTCGACCACGAGTACCGCAGCGGCTCCCAGCACCTCTGCAAGAAGTAAGCGGGGGACCCGGACGGTGGCAACGGGGAGAGCGGCCATGTTCAGCCGGCCGTCTTTAATGCAGAACTCAAGGCAGCCATCGGTCCTCCCCCCCCCCATGTCTCCTCCCCCCCCCAAACAACCCTGTGAGGGGGGGCTGGGCTGAGAGAGAAGGAAAGTCACCCAGCCGGCTTTTATGCCTAACAGATGGGACTAGAACTCCCTGTCTCCCTGTTTCCACCAGCTCCTCCACCACTAGGCCAAACTGCTCCTCTCTCCCCCGACCCCTCCAAGCCTTCCCAGGTGTGAGGAGCCGCCTGGATGGGCCTCTTCCCAGGGCCTCCTTCCCCCACAGTCCCCCCTCCCCGGAGGTGTCCTGAGACCGGAGTTTCCCAGGAGGGGCAGGGGGGGGACACAGCCTCTGAGCAGGGCCTCCCCCTGCCCTCTCTCCCCACAGCCCCCACTGGGAGCTTTCACGAGGGTCCCTGGCAGCCCCCAGAGTAAGGCGGGAGAGGGTTGTTGCCGTGCCAGTGTGGTTCCCGGCATCCTGAGTGGGCGCTGCCCCGTGGGCCGTGGGGGGGGTGGGAGAGAGGGGGGGTCATTGGAGCGCTGGCCTTCTGCCTCTGCAGGGAGGAGATGTACTACAAAGCCGTGCACAACACCACAGTGCTGTTCCTGCAGAACAACGCCGGCTTCTCCAAGTGGGGGCCCAGCCCGGAGCGCCTGCACGAGCTGCTCACCGCCTACAAGCACTCGGGGCGCGCCCACCCAGCCGCCTCCGCCGCCTCTTCGGCCCCGGACAAGGAGCAGGAGCCGGTCCGGGAGCAGAGCACCAGCCGGGAGTCGACCCCCAACTGACGGGCGGCCAGCGGAGAGGCCGAGGAGGACGACCGGACCGCTCCGAAGCAGCAGCAGGAGGGCAGGAGGGGAGCGGCTGGCCTCGCCAGGGTGGGACCCGGGGGGGCCGGCGGCCCCTTTCCCCCCCTGCCCCCCCCCCCCCCCCCCTGGATGAGCTGCAGACGCCCTTGGGCTGTGTCCAGCAGAGCGGAGCCTTTCCCAGCTTGGGAGGG